CTTTTAAAATGTTGCAGTTACATGACATTTCAATTCTAATCTTATAATGTAAACCAAACAGTAGTAAATATCAAGCGATTAGACCCAGACAGATTACTGACGAGGGTGAGGGTGCAACGAGGGTTGCAAAACTATGACGACCAAGCGAAAGTGACCTCTCACGCTGAAGAATAAGGTGTAAAATGTATATAGATAAAAAGTGTCGTGGTTTGTTGGTATACCACCACGCGTGAGGCCAATGAACTTCTCTAAATCATGGATTTGATTATAAATTGCAACTGGCTAAGAATGATAAACTTAAAAAGTTTTTATAGTTTACTAGCGACTCAAATTCATTCCGCGCAGGTTCGTCCCTACTTACGTTTCAACGCTTAATATAAATTTCTCAGAGATGAGATATTTTCTCGCAGTAAAAAGTATCCTATATGTTGACGGGGATAGCCAGCTATCATTGTATCAAATTTCATCAAAATCCCTCCAGTGGTTTTTCCGTGGTGCGGTCACAGAGAGAGAGACAAAAGTTCTAAAAACTATAGATTGGGCCTCTTTATCGATAATAAGGTCTATTTCAATAACACTTTCCAAAAAATATTTAATGTACAGATTCGGCTCAGTTACAATTTTATTATACACATGTATAGATAGACGTTCTAGAAATTAACTTTTGATATATCTGACGAATCTGTCCCAAAATATTGTTTACGTTGAACTAGTGATTCTAATACTATCAGATTCTACGAGGCGTCTCTTATGAATTCCGCTTGTATAACTTTTGCAATATATTACACAAAAGAACACATATGTCACTTCGGCCCATAAACTATTTATTTATATCCAATATAAAAATAACATTCGTTGCTCAGTTGCTTCATGAAAGAACAAACCAAGTGTGTATTCGCATTACTAATATTAATTGAAACTGCCTCGGTGGTGTAGTGGCTAGCATGTACGGCTGCACACCCGGAGGTCCTGGGTTCGAGTCCCGGGTCGGGCCAAGTTTAGTTATTGAGTCTTCCTGTATAGTAAGTCTCAGTAACAGCCCGAAGTTGGGAAGTTGGCGGTGTTTCACCCCCGTGCCTCGGAGAGCACCTAAAGCGGTCGGTCCTGCGCCTTAACTCTCTCCGGTCGTATCGAGTGGTCGTCCCACCGGAGTATGGGAGTGATAGGAATAGAGAGTGCACTTGTGTCTGCGCGTACACTTGAACACTATAATATCTCCTGCGCAGTTGGCTAATCGCATTGAGATTGGCCGCCGTGGCCGGAATCGGCTAGGAGAACATCATCATCATCATCATTAATTGATAAAGTATTTCGTCTAACAGTGTCAAAGAATGTTGTTAAATGTTAAATTCAGCATAAACAAAAGTTGTAATTTTACAATTCTTTAAAATTAGAAAAAAAAGTTATGTTATAGAATCATAATATGTCATTCCCATATATGTACATATTTTTGTAGATTTATCTTCTTCGCCTATTGTAGATTGACATCTAGTCTAAGCCCCCATGTTACACTTATTTAAATCTTTGATTTGATTGATCTTTGACGTTTTTGACGAAAAGTACTTGAGTAAAATAAGGGAAAGTAACATAACTTGATCTTTTTAATATGTGTTTTTAATATGTGTATATGTGTTGATGTGAAACATCTATTGGCGCACCTACGTAGTTAAACCGACTCGTGGTATTACGGCAAAAGGTGGTGTGACACTGTCATGAGCTCATACATGCTCTACGCCACCGCTCTTGACTCCCTTGTGTGTTTGCGCGCGTATACTATATACGCTCCAGTGTTAAACTGTCTCTATTAAAATTATGTACAGGAATATATTCTGTTATTATTTTTAATAATTAAAATAATAAGAAAAATAAATTGATTTTTTTCTTTATTTTACTCCACATCGTTATATGTTTTTATTAATTATGAATTCTAATATTAACATATGTAGATGTTTCACATCTGCCGGGTGTCCCGTAAGGGCCAACTATTTTTTATAAAATTCTATTTTACTATTTTCATACAACATTAAAATAGCCTGGAGACGATCGCATCGTTCCCAAGACGCGTTATCGTCTATAAAGCCATTTACTTTTGTTATGGCTTTTAAGATATAAGCGTCCTGTTACATATTTTCGATTTCAGTCTTAAAACAAAGTCAAAAAAAATAAACTAGCTATGTTACTAGCGACTCACCCTCGCTTCACTCGGGTTCATCCCTAGCTTGTTTTCCAATACAAACTTTCATCCCCACTTTCGTCCCCTTAAGGGATGATTTCCGGGATAAAAACACCCCCTACAACGTCACAAACTGACAAACTCACAAACTTTACCTCTATAGAGTATAGAATATAGGATATACTTTTGAGTAAATGAAAATAATTTAAGACTAAATATATATTTCAGTTCTCTTTGTCTTCACCAGACTGAAACAAATATCTATAAGTATAAAACTTTGAACGTTTGAACACTCAACCACCGATTTAATAGATAGCCGTAGTTTTATTACTATTTCTTATACCTAACTATTATTTCTAACTTACAAAGTGACACACATTTCCAAGCTTTTATTACATTTTTAAAAGTAAAACAAATCTTAAAAGTCTATTTTATTTTACTTCCAATCAGTGTAACGATTTAAAAATTTGTAAAAATTTAAGTAATTGTATTCCATCGAAATTATCTATTAATGAAGAAAAAAAGTGGATTATTCCACTAATTTATGAATGTTTGCTTAATTTTATTTGATTCTATACATTATTCAAGCACACAACTTTTAAATAAATGTTATTTAAAACCAAAATTTTTGTATTATAATGTTGTTTTTTTAAAATTGAACAAATAAAATGTTGAAGACAAGAATGTAGTAAAGGTGTTTCATAAAAATACACGTGCTAAAATATAAAGAATCCTCTACAAGTAATAGCCTTGTCCATAGAAAAAGTGCATTTGGAGCCATATTGTCCTTCCAATTGAAGAGGTGTAGCCGACCCTCATCACACTCTCCCTCGGGACCGGGGAGAATTCACATGCATTTCAAATAAGAATTTTATTTACACTTTTACATAGAATGGAATGTTTTTTAACTCTAACACATTGTAAAAAATTCAATCCGTACATACGTTTGTGTGTGTGCTTGCCTAAATCTATACTAATATTAAGATAAGAGGCAGAGTTTGTTTGTTTGAACGCGCTAATCTCAGGAACTACAAATCCGATTAGAAAAATTATTTTTGCATTAGATAGCCCGCTTATTGAGGAAGCTATAGGCTATATATCCTATAATATATAGTCCACGTACCTAGGAATGAACCCGAGCGAAGCGACAATAAAATTGACAAAGAAAATTGTCTTAAGAATATTTTCAAAAAAATATTCCATTACAAATTTATGTAATTTTATCTATGTTCAGATTCGTCTTTCACCTCTTTTCCCAATCTTTTCTTTTCCTAATCTTACCTAACACCGCTTCATATTTTTTCAAGCCCAATAGGCACAAGATAGTAAATTAAAATAAAACCAATAATTATATTAGAATATATATTTTATTACAATCAGTGGCAGTCCATAAACACTTATAACAAAATACACTATCTTTCACCGAGAAACATTTTTCTTAACCAGAACTAACAAGTAAGTATAAATTGATTTTAAGCTAAATCTAAGTAGTAGTAATAACATTTGCTCTACATTTATTTAAAGAGAGCCACGTTCAAATGAGAACGGATAAATGCTTTGGAACAACATTTGGACTAATACACCCTTACCAATATTTCAACAATTTTACAAACTAGAAAAACGAGTTAAAGTCTGATAGCACTTAAATTATGAACCCTTATCCATTTATCTTTATGTGGCAGCGTAATTCATAAAATAATCTAAAAATATTTGTTTCATTTAATAATTATTTTTAATTTATTTAGTCATGCCGTGGCTTAAGTGGTAGTATAATTTTAATTGGACGGTGTCAAAAGTCGTAATTATATTACAAACTAGCACTCGTCTGAACTCTCATAAAGCACCTCAATAACCAATACTTATTTTAAGTGCAGAATGTAACGAAAATTTGCTCTACAATAAGCCTTTATCCGCTATAATATATTAATGTATGCATTGTGATAATTAAAGGGCATGCAAGGGTTGGTAATAAATGCACCCTTTTATTAACTTAATAGTAATATTTAGGTTTTACTACCCTTGTTTTGGTTCGCAAGATAATGTATTTCTCTCACGAGATAAATCTTGAGCGCTTAATTTATCATAGACTAATAAGAGATCTAAAAATATTCTGTTTAGAAAATCATATTCATATTTTTTAAAACACAATATTCTCGTTTTCTTTTGGTTGGAAGTTGGTAAAAATATAATATTTGAAATGATCTATAACTAAAACTTATATCTATAATGTCTCAAACTATGAGATTACTTTAGCAATACCATTATGAGAAGAAAATTAACCTAAAATTAGCTTCTATACTATAATGGCACTTGCTTTAAAATACAAATAAAATACTTAATTGTGCGTCACACGCATATTAAATCTAAATATGTATGTACAAATTCCTTTGCCATTTTTATTAACATAAAGGACTAGGCACTCGATATCCAAAGCTTGCAAAACTAAACAGCCTATAATAAATATCTCATCCATTCCATTAAGAATTGTGACGTTTTTTGGTTTTATAGTAAATATTTTATATATTTTTTTTTATTGTATTTTTATATTTTTGGCAAAGGAATGCGTTTCCAACGCAAATAGACGTATCAGTCACGCGTATAAACTATAAACTATTTTTAACATCTATTAATAAAATCTTAGACCAAAAAATAAACATGAGTCGTTTTGATGAAGTTATATAACAAAATTATCGATCGCCGTAACAATGTCATAATAAGGTTATATGACTTCAAAATTAGCGTTTATTAATGGCTAAGCATTTATAACTTATGCCTTTTATATGTGAAAATACATAGAAAAAGGCAGAAATTATACTAAATCTAATTAGAGATCCATACTGAATGTCTCCTGGGATTCATCAAAGGAGATGGAGTTAGAGCGTGGCTTGCGAGCGGGCGGCGACGCTTGCTGCGCACTGGACGGGTTCTTTAGTAAAGCCGCCGGCAGAGTACACTTTGGTGGGGTTTGCGATATCGGCGACTGCCTTAATGACATCATAAACGATCTCTCGTAAACTATACGGGTACCTGTAATATAAAAATAATAATATTAATATAAAAATCGTTCAAGTGCGAGTTGGACACGCACACGTAGGGTTCCGTATCATAATATATATTTTTAATTTGCAATTCAATAATTTCAATTTGCTTTTTGAAATTCGCCATCTTGGTTTTTAATTATTTTTTGTTATAGCGGCAATAGAAATACACACTCTAAATTTCAACTCTCTAGCTATTGCGGTTCATTAGATATAACAACCCTCTGACAGACGGACGCAACGACAGTGGGGGCGTAGTAATTGGGTTCCGTTGGCACACTTCTAGTATGGAACCCTAAAAAGATTATAATTCAATATCTTTTACTCTAAGTTTTCCTTGTTTGTTTATTTTGGATAGGTTATCTTTTAAGATAAACGGCTTTATAGCTAATGATAAGGGAGAATATATTTAATTGGAATATCAACCTTGAACCTCTCATTCTACTGTATACTCCATGAAAAAATATAATTGAACGTTAAGATAATAAAAAAAAATTATTTGATATTTTTTAATAAACATAATGTATTCATTATTAATAACACTAATAAAATATCTCAAACAGATATCCGATACGTATTACGATAATTAATTTGTTATTGCATTTAAATTTAATATGTTCATATTATAATCGTTTAGTATTAAGTTGTTTGTTGTTGATTAGACTATATTATTACTACAAATTACAGAATAAATATAATACATTTATAAATACTATTTTTTCCGCCAAAAAAAGTCAAATAAATTTGTATAAAAAATTAATATATTGTAAAGAAATCCTAGAAAACCTAAAACTAATTTTGCTTTTTAAACTTTAACTTCGGTAGAGTATCGAAATAAAAGACATATGAAAAATGAAAACAATAAGAGTATTAATTACATTCAACCTTGAACTGTACTTTATCAACTAGTTATTCTTCATTTCAGTAATCATGATACCAACAAAATTCAAGAGTAAAATTATTTTACCTTAATATTATTTTTTGATCAATAAATCCACAGTTTTATCATATTTCCTACCAAATACGTTAAAATACATGCATTTTCTGTATATTAAAAAGATTTTAAATTTTGTTAGTATTACAATATTAGGTTATAAATAATACATTTAAGAAATAACGTATCATCAAGTCTTCTACTCCCATCCTAGAGACGCCCAAAAATCTTTTTTTAGTATAATAGTCTATTTCCGTCTTCAAAATAAACGGCTAAATAAAATTTTATTACAGTCTGTTTTAAAAACATAAGAAACGGGTACGAAATAAAATTAAACTCTATGTAAATAAATGTTGAGTACGCTTTGTTTCTATGCAGATAAAAACAAATTATCTTCCATTATATTGTATGTTAATAATAATACTAAAAAAAAACAAAACTTCTCGTTAGTAAAAAATCTAGTACAATTTATAGTTCGATGTTTTTCGCAACTGCGCAGAACGATATCAAGGTCTTGCAATAAGCACGCGGTCGCTGTCACTTCTAAATTTACTTTTCTAATAAGTACGTAGAGTTTAAATGCCTCTTATCGAAATAATAAGCGATTTAACAAAAGGTTGATCACCTCAGGCTAACCTACTTTTGTTTCGTTTCATTCGTCACCCGGTGTTATGTAATGTTTATTGACATAAGATGTTGTAATTATAACCTAAGAAATTTTTTGTTACTAAAAATACAATTCTTACGTTACAAATTACCTAAAACTTTTAAGATTCATATATTTAATTCATATATACATATATATTTGTGATATTTTTCTTAAACTACGATTTATTAAGTTTGAAACCACGTGTGCATGAAGAATAATAAATAATACCTTTGATTATGTATTATGATCAAAGAAATAATACATATCCATTATTTTCATAAATAACTCTATCATTAACAGCATGTAGATTATAGAGCTTTAATTATATATTTAAGGGATGAAATTACCTCCAGGGGTGGTAGAGTATATGGTGCCACCGGGTGTGCTCGAGTACACATCAGGCATTTGCGCCGGGTCTGTGATGAGGACTCTCCTCGAGGGAATAGCCTGGCTATGAGTCGCTTGTCTTGCAATTGGTGAAGCAGACATTTTTAATAATTATTATCAATCACTATCACTAACACAAGTGAGCAGATGACCGAGAACTGAGCTGAGGTACGCCGGTTGCTAAAATAAATACGGCCTCTAAACGCACACAGCCAACCAAGCGTGTTAAACATGTATACGTGTGTCAAAACATTCATATATTAATAGTGTAGACGTTTACGATTGTTAACGCTTCTTAGGTAACGTCGTGGAAACTCTGAGAGACAAAATAAAGCTTTCATTTATCATTTTATCACTGGGCAGTCATAAGACTTTGTTGCTATTTCTTTTGATAGTATTTAAACTGTGTTTTGTAAAAAGTTTTCTATATAGCTCTTTTTTTTAAATATATATTGAAGTGAAACTTCTTTGCGCGCATGAGAGTAAAATTTCAAGATCGCGTCACGAGAAATCGTCTCGAAAAACCGTCACAGTTGCCATAGTAACCGTTGTTATTGTCTGAAAAATTATATATATATATATATATATATATATATATATATATATCCTTTCCGTTGCTGTCTTCAAAGATTACTATTTTTATAATTTGTTTTCAAATATGCGAAATATAAATCTATACTAATATTATAAAGAGGTAAAGCTTGTGATTTTGTGACGTTGTAGGGGTTAATCCCTGAATCTACTGAACCGATTTAGATGAGGTAAAAAGAGAGTTTGAGACCCTGGAAAGGACATAGGATAAATTTTATGCTGGAAATAATTCCTTAAGGGGGTGAAAATGGAGATGAAAGTTTGTATGGGGAAACATGCTAGGGACGAACCCGAGCGAAGCGAGGGTGAGTCGCTAGTATATAATATAATAACTAGCAGCTCACTCTCTTTACGCTCGGGTCCGTCCTTTAGAGTATATGCGATAGATGTAAGAATCCAGCTAGATAGAAAGCGATAAAATATTAGTGTCTCCTCTTTGTTTGATATTCGTTTGAATCATATTTTTGTCTGAGTGTAATGTATTTATGAATTTATTAAACTTACAGATTTGAAATACCAATAACCAATAAAGTTTCATTTCTAACGCGTTTTCATAGAAACTTGTTTTTTTTTGTTTTTGATGTGTTAGAGAAATCATTGTATGTCTAAAGTCGAAATCTAAGAAGTGATTCTTGCGTTTCATTTTAAACATTTAATTCCTATTATTAATAATTACATTACGTAAACATTTTACCCATCATAATAATTAATAATACAGACGAAATTTTGTTAGTTCATTTAAAAAGTTTTTATACATATAATACTATAAGTAAAATAAATTATTCTTATCATATTTACATCTATCTTTAAAAAAGTAAATTGCTTAAAAAGCTAAAAAAGCATTATAGTTCGTGGTATTTGAGTTGTAAACAAGCTTCTAAAATATAAATTTATTTCATTAATAATAAATTCTTAATTTGATCGTCCGTTCATTTTCAAATCTATATATATAAAAATAACAGTTTTGAGCGTGTTCTTTGAAAGGTTATTATTGAAAAATGCTAGGAAAAGTAAAAGTCAAATCAACAGCTTACACTTTTTTATATTTCAGTCCATTTACTATTATATCATTATTATGTTGCTAATTTTACTTAGATAACTTAGCAAACTTTTGTTTTAACCGGTGAAAGGACTTATTACAGTCCAATTTATACTCAACTGGCGATTTAAATTCCCTTAGCCTGGGTGTGTCCATGGGTGACTAATGATACCCTATGTTTTGCTCCAGGTCACAGTCTATCTGTGTACTTTTCTTTTAAATCAGCCCAGCTGTGTCAGCATGAAGAAGTATCAAACATACACACATACATCTTTCGAATTTATAATCACTAGCGACTAACCCTCACTCCGCTCGGGGTCACTCTTAGGTAAGTTTTAACGGTTGCTATAGATTTCTAAGAGATATTTTCTCGCAGTAGAAAAGTATCCTATAAGTTGACCCGCTATCATCATACCAAATTTCATCAATCAGATCATTTCATCATCAGACAGAGATAAAAATACTAAAAATCATAGAGTCGGAAATATAAGATTTTCGAAAAAAAAAATTGTGTACAAATTCGACTCAGAATTTTATTATATGTACATATAGAAGTGTAATACGAGCTTTGAATTATCTGGTGTTTATACTAAAACATACAAATGAAGTAAGAGTCAAATGCTAGTATTATATATTTAGTTCGAAAACAAACTTCTTATAACATAAATCGAAGTTTCTTTTTACTTTATTTCTTTTGTTCTTTGTACTACACACATACATATATACCTTATCTAATAAACATTCACGTACAAGCGAATACCATGTGCGTACTGCGTAGTATTTTTTATCCGCTTAAAAACAAAGTAGTCGTTATGGCGACAAATTTTATCTAATAATAATACTGAAAGTATTATTATCTAATATCTATTCCAGTCTAGCCTCTACTAGTTATTTATATTATATAATCTTAAAAATAAATATAAATATGTTTGGATATTAACATACAGCACCATCTAGTTCCATGGTAAGCTACGACATTTGAGTTATGGATACCAGACGGTTGATACTTGATACACTACACATATGTAACTTTAATTACATACATATTAAAAATATAAACACCCATGACTGGAGTACAAACAATCGTGCGCATCACAAAAATGAATGCCCCCAGCGGGACTTGAACCCGCGACCGCTGGCAAAGCAAGTACAAACTGAGCCAAACGTGTCATCGAACTAAACTTAATGAAACACAAAGTTTACAAAAATAGTTTGACGATATATTATAAACTAGCGACTTACCCTCGCTTCGCTCGGGTTCGTTCCTAGTTTGATTAACCATACAAACTTTCATCGCCATTTTCACCACCTTAAGGTATAACTTCCCGAATAAAAAGTATTCTATGTCCTTCCACGGGTCTCAAACTATCTTCTTAACAAATTTCATCTAAATCGGTTCAGTAGATCCAGATATTACCCCCTACAACGTCTCAAATTCACAAACTTTAGCTCTTTATAATATTAGTATAGATTAGTATAGATGAAAGTCCACCGTTGCGCTGAGTCTGTGTTAGTCCAGGATAATTTCAGACAGACTTTTTTACAGATTTTCATTCGGTTTTCAATAGAAAGAAGGATTCTTTAGGTAGTTTTAATTTATAAATATATTACAAAATTAAACTACCGTTATAATGATATATTGTTATTAAGCCTGAAAAAATCGACCTTTCTGAAAAATTTCATAAAATTATGAATGTGAAGGCCCTTTGGAAATTCTTGTTGAAAATCTTTTATAAAAGCTTATTTATATAATTTGTTATTTTTTTGCTTAGTGGTCATACATTAACATTACTGATAACGCAGTTCAGTAAACAACGTGTGGTGTTATATCGATTGCTACACGTGTAACTTAAATATCGGTATAGAATATAATTGCAAGTATATATAATAAGCTGGGGAAGCTTCATCCCGAAGTGATTTCTAATTTCACAGTTTCTCTGACTAAAGTTGATTATATATTATCATGTAAATAATTTTATTTTCTCAATTATCAAGTTGCTTGTTGATAGTATTGCTATTTCCTTTTATATCTTTCATTAGCGTTTACGGTATATACACTTTGTGCACACTATTTTACCAAAATTGGTTGAAACATTTTACAGTAAAATCAAAATCTGGTAATACAGAAACAGAGTTACTATCATATATATACAGATAAATAAAATTTAACTGTCTATTTGTAATATCAAAACAACAACTTTTTACTAAACGCAAATAAAATTAATAATAATTATATATACTTATAAGAAAAACACTTTTTTTTTATTTTTTTGTCCGTCTGTCTATCTGTCTGTCTGTTTGTTCTGGCTAATCTCCGAAAAGGCTGGACCAATTTTGATGAGACTTTCAGTGGTAGATAGCTGATGATATAAGAAATAACTTAGGCTACTTTTATTTTAGAAAAAGAATTAGACTTCCGCTCAAAAAAATTAAAACATACCTAGTGTCGCTGGTTTCTAATATAATAAATATGTAAGTAAGTATTCAATAATAATATTCATAATATTATAAGATTGCTATCACAGCGAAAAACTTGCATTTAAGCATGTCTCTATCTGATAGGTACTAAATAAACCGAAGGTCGTGAATTCTTTTCTCGGAACAAATTTTACTATTTTCCACGCAAATTTTTATCACGCATTCTCAATATCATTTAAAAATAAAAAACGTATGAGGCATCAGACTTCTTTTTGACTGGATTGGACTAAGTAAAAAAAAAACGTAGTTATATATTTAGGGTCTTGTTATTTGTTATCTGGATATTATGTATGTTAAGATGTATATATAGGTAATAAGCCTTAATTTTTCTGAAGTCTTCCAATGTAAATTAAAACATAATAATGAAGCTGTAGCTTTTTAGTACAACAGTAATAATTTTATTTATAATGTAAGGGATAAATCCCTATTCGTATATAAAACTAACTTTTGCGAATTTTTTCGCGAATTTATTTTGACCCTAATCATAAATCAAAATTAATCTGCGAAAAAATCAGATAAGATAGTTTTATTTAAAATATTTCACTATTGAAAGCTACATTGGTCTTGAATAACAGGATATAACTAATAACTATTTAAATGCCGCTAAAGCTCAAGACGTAGAATATATATAATATAGACGTAGATGCAAAACTAGTTATTAAGTAGCATAATATTTACAAAATCTAAAATAAAAAAATTCCATGTTTGTCATTTGCCAGGTGGCCTAAGACATATAGAGAAACAATAGCTATGATATAAACACATGTGGTAGGCAGTCAAATTAGAATAAACAAATAAGTTAATATAACTTACTGAATATATATTAAAAATAGTATGTATTTGTCATTACTTATAGATATAATTATTAGGTCATGAATGTACAGAAAAATTTAAAAAGAATTAAGCAGGCTTATCATCGTTACTGCTCAGCAAAATAATAATTGTAATTTCATTGTTACTCTATAGTCTATACATATAATAAAATTCTGAGTCG